GTTCGCTCTCCAGTGCTGATCCTACAGCTCCACTCCAGGAGTCCTTGCTATCCATAGTCCTCCACAAAGGCACTGTTGGATAGTCTCAGTGTTGTTTCCAGATCAGCATTTCACAGCAAAGTCTCCATCAAGTATTCCAAGCAGTCTAAAGAGACCAGTGACATACTCTGCACTTTTCCCCTTAGCCCACCCCAGGCATACACCCCCCATCTAAGTGAACTACCCCCTCCAATCGCATGTGTCTATCATTTGCTCTCCCCTAGTTTCACCACTCCATGGGCCGCCTAATTTCCCGTTAACCAAATGTGAGCTGTGCTCTTAACGGTACACCAGAAAATCAGAATTTATTGTACATATGTTTGTGTTCCCACTTAATAAAAAAACCTATATTTTAAGATAAACTTTGTTAGTAATTCATGAGGTAAGTGACTATTTATGCTAATCAGGCAGAAATATATTCTCAAGCATAATGCATTACATAAATTTGAATGCAGAATGTTCCATTATGAAGTAAATACAGGTAATACAAATAATAAATTACCTCTAATAAAAATTATAAAAGATGTGTCTTCAAAGAGAGAGAGGCTTTAACTTACAACTGTAAATTGCTTAAAGAGAAAAGAATTAATACATGCTGAATTACTAGATGATTATTTAGCACGTCATTCACCTATTCATAACGACTCCTAGTAATCAAGCGCTTGCTTCATGCCCTCAAATATGAGGCAAGACTGTTTTCTCAGCAATTTTATCCTTATCAGATTATCTCGTCTGATTCTATTAATTTTCTTCCATGAATCTGCTAACAGTGATTTGTGATTTACTTATCCTGCTAAACTGAAGACAGTTTAAAACGATTTATCTAACATTAGACCCAAGACTTGTGGGGGCCTTATCTTTCAGCTTCTCTGTACACATCTTTCTCAAATCAACTTAGTTGGTTTCATAGTGTAAATTACTGGACAGTGGTTAGACTTGTGAAGAAATCAGTTCCTAGATAAACAAAGAGTTCAGACTCTACTCTTGGAGCATCCTGTTGTATTCTGATTATACATGACTGATTTCAACTTGACATACCTGTGCTGTTGTAACTAATAATCAGGAAAAATAAATTCCTTTTTGCTATTAATCTTGGTAATTTGGACTTAAGCCTAGTCTCCCCCCACCCCCACTTTTTGGCAAGAAGTTGTTATATATGTACTGACATGATCCTACAGTTGTGTTTCTGATGTTAATATTCCCCAGTCTACATGATTCAGCTTATGTGCCCTCGTCTCTGTCTCTTCAAAAATCCTTCTCCTATAAATACTGGTGGCTTTCTGAAACTTTGGTGCTACTGGTATGAATTGGCTAAAAATGACAAATGCACAGTTTCTAAATTACTGGATATTGTTCTACAGAGATTACAAGAAAACAGATAGCAAGGGGATATTAAGCAGTAAGGAACCCCAGTTCATACTGCATTTGGATTAGGTGGGCTCCAAGAGATGTGAAATAAAAAATGTTAGCAAAGAAGTCTACAGAAATGTGGCCTGCAGTAATTGTACAGAATCAGAAAGCTAAATAGTACTAATTAAAATTAGAGAGCTCAATTGTAACCAAAGAAACACTGCTAACACAAAACTATCAATGTTTAGACAGCCTTTGTGAATCACTACATAATAAAGTATAAAGGACAAAAATGAGAGCTAAGCTGTGACCCAGAATCTGAACCACTACCCATCTAAAAATTCCTTTTGATCTTCTCTCTTTTCAGGAGAAAATACAGGGCTATTAAAGATTCTGCAATAAGAGAAAGAAAAATATACTGGCTTCACGATAGTGTATGCACATAAGCCAGAAGAATATCCATTTAGCTACCCAAACATGGACATTTAATTTATAGACATGATACAGAGTTACAAAAATTACAGTACTCAGCTATTAATCTATACAGCATGGTCTTTGTCATTGGCAAACTTTGTTTAGGAATGTTGTTTATTTATAAATGTAACAGTTCTCATTGTTCCTGGTAAGAGACACTAGCATGAGAATCAGGGATCTGATCTTTCAGCTTTTAACAAAAATGTGATGCCAAATGAAACAAAACAAATAAACCTCGTTAGATCAGACACAAAAAAAGAATGAATTCTTCCTAACCGTTCTTAAACGTCTATTTTTCATAAAAGAGATAAAAGCACAGGCATTGGTGACTAATGTCCAAAAAACTATTGTTATGAACTAAGCTAAATGACATAATCTGTTTATATAGTTTAAGCAGTAGATTTTCTTCTGAATATCTGAGCTATAATCCCTGAATTTCATTACTAGGTAAAATAATGTTAAACAGCAGGAAAAGCAAGGGTATTTTGTTAAGTTGCATAAATATTGACATAATCATCACTCTTTCTTCCCCAGACTGGTAATAGAGATAGTTTATTCCATTCCAACAAAGTAGTCCTGTAAAAGTCAAACTACCGTTATAAACAACATCTCAGCAGTAATGATGAAAAAGAAACATGTTTGTCTGGAAAACAGCAACAGGGCAAGCTCGTTTTGTAGACTCATGATGTGCCTACAAACCTTCCTGGGCTTGCCAAAAGTGAAGACTACCAGCCTTCAGAAGAATTAATTCAGGTCTAGTGTGCCTCCGAAGCTAATGAGGGGACGCCTAAGGTCTCTTTATAAACAGTAAAGCTTTCTGTACGCAGAGTATGAACCTTCTGAAGTGCAATGTTCAAGAAGCTAGTTTAATATATGACTAAGTGTCAGCAGTCAGGTTTTCTGCGAATTACTTTTCAGATAAACAACTTCATACCACTGCACTTAATCTTACTAGAGATATGTCACTTACCACTGAATTACATGTAACTTTAATTCTATTGAAATTACCATAAAGTCCCTTGAAAATTCAGCTCTGCACCTTTAAAGGGTTTAGGACATTCTAACATTCCATTGCCTTGCAAAGGTCCCATGTCCAGAAAAGATCACTAGTTCCTGTGACCCTCGCCTCTTTGTCAAGGGGTTGACAATAGGGGAAATGACTTCTGCCTTAGCCAGTCCTTTCTTCAGCCCCATTTCCCTACGAGGTCCCCTTCTCAAACAAATAAACTTTCAGGGCCTGCTTCCTCCTCCCACCTTGGGAATCCAGCTTTTCATCAACAAACTCGGCAAGGATCAATTTCAACTGACCTTTGCCGAAAGGTGGCGCTGTCGAGGTACAAACCAACTCCGTCCAACAATAGTTTTCTCTCTTCTGTCCTTTTGCAGGCTTTTCAGATTTTTTTTTTTTTTCCTGCACCCTCCTAGCGTCCCCCCTCCAATAAAGTAAAATAAATATGATTGACACCAAATGCATTTAATTAATTGGAGGAATCAACATTCCCAACTTCCAAGCGGACAGGCTGGTCTTCCAAAAAGCCCGATCAGTTTCGCGCGCTTGCTTTCCCCAAATAAATCTCAGCTTTTCCGACTTGCCTATCGCTTTAAAATCTTAGAAACTGAGCTGTTGGTTTCTTTCTTTCTTTTATTTTTATCCTTTGCTTCTTTGCATAAGCTTTTTTAAAAAAATCGATCCAGAAATTGAATTCGTTATTAGCATCTGGGAGGGTGAGGCAGCCCCCCACCCCACCCTACCCTACCCCCACTCTGAGTTTCCGGAGTTGTCCGAGAAACCGCGGTTTAAAATTTAACCCTTCGAGGGGAGCGGGTGAGGGCTGGGATGTTGTTTTTCCCCTTGTTCCCCCCCCCCCCCAGGATTAAGTCCGAAATAATTAAGTGAAACGTGAAGAGCAAAGAGTGCGCGAGACCCTGATAAACAAGGGTCAGGTTTCATAAGGGGGTGGGAACGAATGAGTGTGTGTTAAGTGTGCATTAAGTGTGCGTGAAAGAAAACGACAGAGACACAGAAGGGACCTGATTATGAATCTCAAAGGCCAAATTCGGGCCACAGTTTGGAGCCGGAGGGTTGATCCAGGCTGACCCCGCTCTCAGCCTTTCCAGAGTTCTCTCTAAAAGGCGCTCTCCCACCCCTACTCCCACGTCCCGCAAAAGCACGCGACTCCATCGGACAGCCAGCCCGCGAGGAAGGTGCCCCCGAACAAGTTACTTCACCTCCTTTAAAAGTGGGTGATCAGCTGGGGCTTGCTCCTTCTTTCTACCGACCATCGACAACCAACCCGGGGAGTCGTGCGGCTGGGGCGAGGTCCCGCGCGCAATCCAGCCATCCCAACCCCCAGCACCTAGAGCGCGGGCACTCGGCACAGGGACAAAGAGTT